AGGCAGGAAGTGCAGGGATAACCTGATTTAGTACTATGTACAGATTGAGCCGTTTCAGCTACATTCTCCTACATTTAAAGTTCAATAAATCATGGAACAACCCACTGGATTATCAGATCAATACATTGCCACAAAGGGGAAAACGGGGGATCTAAAATGGCATACTCTTGAATCTGTTTTGATTATATTTTTGTATGTCCTACTGACTAAAAGAAAAAAAGATACTGATAAACAGTTAACGAAGACACATCTAAAAGCAGCTGCTATGAAACAAAGAAAGGCTACTTTAACATGTTTCCCTTTCAAAAAGCCTCTTCAACACAATGTACTGTATAACATATTTTGTGTCAAACTAAATCCTAACTAAGCGCTATCCATTTTTGACTGCTCTGGATCATTAGCAAGTGCATATAGTATGATGAGAATAATGATGATGGGTACAATTATGTAATCTTCTAAAGAAAACCCTGTCCTTTTCTGTCCACCTGCCTGGCATCCTTATTGCTACAACTGCTACACTAGATCAGTCTCATGATTTGATTTCCTGCTACCTTGACCTTCTCATGCTCCTCTTTGGGCACAGCCTCCTGCAGGTCCTTCAGTTTGGCCTCTGTTGTGGCGGTCTGCTCCTCAGCCTGAACTCGGAGGCTCTTCTCCTCCTGGAGCTCCTGCAGAGTGTCAGCCAGCTGCTCTGACACTGCGGACAGCGCCTCCTTGTGTTTGGACAGAGGCACGGCGCCCTTCACCTGCAGGGCGTCCTGAGCGCGGCACTCCCTCTCCGCACACAGACAGTCCAGAGCCTGCGCTGCTTCCTGCCTCGCCACCTCCAGCTCCTCCCTCACCGCCGTGATGGAGCGTCTGGAGAGCTCTGATTGGACAGAGGCGTGATCATTCACAAAACGGACAGGAAAAGTCAATCATTTTGAATTGTACTATCTGGCTTAAAAGTAAAAAATACAACCCTATATAAATATATTATCTCTGTTATTCAGCTCTTGTTGAAGTATGTTTTACCATGTACTAGAATAACATTATGAAGGTCTTGCAAATGGCTTAAATCTAACTATTCATCTGTTAGTGTTTAATATGATTATTATTTATAAACATATTATATATTTTCAAATCCTTACTTTATTAATTATTTGGGCTGGTTGTTTTTATTATTATTATTTTTCATACATTTTAATTTTCATTCACTGGATATAAGACATATTATTAGGCATGTTTTTATTTTTTTTAACTGTATGTAAATTAACAAATTAAGTAAAAAAAAAAAAAAAAAAAATACCACACCAGATCTACCTGAGCGCTCTGAGCTCTCTGAACGCTCCTCCTCTTCCTCCTCCTCCTCCTCGTCCTCATCTATCCGTGGAGGAGGCCTGAATCTCTCCAGATCCAGCAGAGCGACATTGAGCCTCCGGGCGACCTCCGCCCTCTCCCTGGCCAGCTGCTCACACTGCAGCCCCAGATTCACCTGCACCTCCTCCAGCTCCGAGCGGGCAACACTCTGCCTCAGCTCCCCCTCCAGCTGCCCTAAACGCTCCTGGAGACGCCGGACCTGATCTCCATCTCCTCCTGTTCCTCCTTCTTTCCCCGATGTTTTACTCTCTGCCAGGGCTGCCTCCAACTCAGCTACTTTGTCACGGAGGCACTTCACCGCTTCCCCCTCTTCTCCTTTGCCTTCTTTTCTCTTGGATAAAGCAGCACGGAGTTCCTCTACTTTCTCCGTCAGCTGTTTGATTTTGTCACTGTCCCGGCTGCTCTGACCGCCTGCTTCGCCCTCTCTCTCGGCTAGCTCCTCCTCCAGCTCCGTCACCCTGGCCCTCAGCTGCTGCGCCTCCTCTCTCAGACCCTCCTCTGCAGACTCGCCTCCACCTGTTGCGGCGCTCTCCCCACACTCCACAGAAAGCACCCCGAGACGCATCTGCTCCTTCAGCTCCTCCAGCTCAGACTGAGAGGAGGCCAGCTGCTCCTTCAGCGCTCGCATCTTCTTCTTCAGAGCCTCCAAAGTCTCTGCACCTCCTTCCTGAGACTCCTCATCACTGAAGACGAGACAACAATGAGCATTATTACACTGACGCAAAAATGAAAACATGTCTAACTTAGCAAAACCCATACTAGGGATTTTTACAAGTGCAGTTTCATTTTGTAGATAATATGCGGGATTCATTGATTATAATTTTTGTCAAATGTTGTCTTTATTTATATAACACATTTAAAAAAAACAACCTCAGTTTTACAAGTGAATATCATTTTGTTGATAACATCCGGGATTCATTGATTATTATTTAGTCTAATATAGTCTAGAAGATTTCAGAAAATAGTGAAAAATGCCTAAGAAACCTTGCTTTTATTTTATTTATGTATCAAAAATAAACAAATAAGGGCGAAATAAACAAATGTTTGGGCTTTTTTGCATGATAAATGATCTGCTATTGACCCAATGTATTACCAAGCTCATAATTTCAGCATTACATCACCAGTATTTATCACATCAACA